AGAGAGAGCGTGTCTTACGGTTTAGTTTGATAGCCCACTGGCGGAGGTATAGCTCGTGCGAATCGGGCGATGTTGGCCACCGTTTTGGCCTTAAAGGTCGGATTAGTGAGCGTCCGAAGTGTGGCGGTTGAGGCGCCGCCCGAATACACGGCCATCAAAGTAGTGAAGCCGTTGACCACTCGTCGCATCGACGGACACAACCAATACGACGAGTAGAGGCCGTAAACCACATCCAACTGCGGCTGTAATGAGGAAAACACGCGCAACAGCTCAGGAAAGCTGTCAGCGGTGGCCACAAACAGGTCTTCGGGCGGCGATTGTGCCATAAACTGGTCGCAGAGGTCGAGACCCGAGAGTAAAACCTTAAGAGTTAATACAAAACAGATGTTTGGGATTAATATCGTAAAACACGTGTTGTTTGTGATTATTAAACCTGCGATACGGGCAACAAATGTGTGCCGAAGTGCTCGTCGGGCGAGTCGACCACCAGCTGACCAAACCTGACCACTAGTCGGCCGTAAGTCCAGTAGCCGTTGGCCTCGACGTCGAGATAATCATAGCGTTTGGCGGCCGACAGTACGGCTCGAGTCCGCGCCCGGAGTTGACGACAATTGGCGGCCAACTCGAGGCACCGGTGGTCGCCAGAGGTAGCCAGTCGTGTGTCCACCCCGTCGTACACCTGATCCAGTTGTGCGGACACCGATTGGTTGCGATCGTCGGCCAATTGCAGTGTCATTATTGGTGCTGTTGTTGTTGTTATGACTCATATGTTAATACTGTTAATAAGGTTGGTATGGATGCGCACGTTGTTTATGTGCACGTAATTTGTGTGTGACTTTCTTTGGATACAGTCTACTGTCGGTAATGTGTTTTTTATTTATCTGTTTTTTGTGTGAGATCTACAATACAGATGTAAAGAGTTTTTTGTTGTCTGTGATTATAGTATTTGCAATAAAACTTTTTTATGCTGTAATTGTAATTATTAATTACTAATTAATTAAATATTATTTTGTATTAAATGTTAGTTTTAGATGTTTTTAATGAGAAATTAATGTTTTTGTTTTAAAGTTTAATATGTATTTCATATTATGTAGTTTTTAATAGTATTTTAATTATTAATATGTTTGTAAATCAGACACAAAATTTGATATTTAAAATTGAGTAGGGTAATACAATGATCATGTTATTAGAAATGGACTTAAATAGAAATGATATGATAATGAATAGAAATGAACTTATCAGTATAACAAAATTGCATTAAAATCTAGGTGAACATTAAAATTATTATAAACATTAATAATATTATTGATTATTTTAATTATTGTATTTATTATAAATATGTTTTACAATTTATAGTTACATTATATATATCACATGTTACATTAGATATTTCAAAATTTACTTAAAAACTATTGTTTAAGATCTAAAAATAGATCAAATGTTTGGGCATTTCTGACAAGAAATTGAGGGAAAGGGAGGAAAGAGTGGTTATAGTATTGGTTGGCATTACTTTCTAAACGGGTTTTCACTTCACAAACACATGCTTTCAAACCATTGTCTCAATTCATGCGTTTGTTATATATTTTTTAATAATTTAGTATTAGTATTAATTCAATTTAATTTGTGATTAATTTTATTTATAAAATGTGTTCAAAATTAATGAGTGTTTCGTAGATTGAAATGAAGAGTAAATTAAATG